GGCTGCAACCAAAAAATAGCCAGGCGTTGTTGTGGGTGCCTGTGGTCCCAGCTACTTGGGAGGCAGAGGCAAGAGACTCGCTTGAGCCCAGGAGTTGGAGGTTGCTGTGAGCTGTAATGCCACGGCATTCTACCCAGGGGGACAGCTTGAGGCTCTGTCTCAAAAAAAAAAAAGAAGTTGTTGCTGAACCCAAGTAATCTAGATTTTCTCCCTAGATTTTCTAGGACTTTCATAGTCTTGCATTTTACAATTATATCTATGATCCATTTTGAGTTAAGGTTTGTGAAGCGTATAAGGTCTGTGTCTAGCTTCATTTTTTTGCATGTGAATGTCCAGTTGTTCCAGCACCATTTGTTAAAAAGATTATCTTTATCTCCTTTGTCAAAAGTCAGTTGGTTGTATTTATTTATTTATTAAATGATAGCTGTGTACATTAATGCAATCATGCGGTACAGTGTGGTGTTTTCATATACAATTTGAAATATTTTCATCAAACTGGTTAACATAGCCTTTGTGTCATTTTCTTAGTTACTGTGCTAAGACGTTTATATTCTACTCTCAGAAAGATTCCCTTGTACCCTTGTAGTTGGCTGTATTTATGTGGGCCTATTTCTGGGGTGTCTCTTCTGTGCCATGGGTCTGTTCTTTCTTTTGGCAATAGCACACTGACTTGATTACTGTTGCTTTATACTAAGTTTTAAAGTGGAAAGTTATAAACAAAAATAAATAAAGTTGGGCAGTGTTGAGGCCAGGCACAGTGGCTCACGCCTGTAATCACAGCACTCTGGGAGGCTGAGGTGGGTGGATTGCCTGAGCTTACAGGTTCAAGACCAGCCTGAGCCAGAGCGATACCTCATCTCTAAAAATAGCCAGGTGTTACGGTGGGTACCTGTTGTCCCAGCTACTCAGGAGGCTAAGGCAAGAGAATCGCTTAAGCCCAAGAGTTTGAGGTTGCCCTAAGCTATGATGCCATGGCACTTTATTGAGGGTGACAAGGTGAGACTCTGTCTCAAAAAAAGAAAAAACATTGAGCAGTGTCAGTCTTCCAGCTTTGTACTCCTTCCATATTGTGTGGGCTACTCAGGGTCTTTGGCTGCTCAGTTTTTGAGAATGTTATTATAGTCTGTTCATGCCCCTATAACAAAATAGCTCAGACTGGATAATTGATAAACAACAGAAATTTATTTCTCATAGTTTTGGAGTCTTAAAGTCCAAGGTCAAGATGCCAGCAGGTTCCGTGTCTGGATGAAGGCTTGCTCTCTGCTCCCAAGATGGTGCCATGTTGCTGCATGCTCCACAGGGTACAGATGATATCTCCTCTCATGGCAAAAGGTGGAAGAGCAAAAGACCTTAACTAGTCCCCTTGAACCCTTTTTAAGAGTATTGATTCCATCTATGAGAGCAGAGCCCTCAGGACTTAATCACCTCTGAAAAGTCCTACCTCTTCATACTATCACTTTTGGTCTTAGATTCCAACATATGGATTTGGGGGGGACATATACATTCAAATCAAAGCAAATACAAAAAGGGATCCTGAGACCAAAAAGTTGGAGAACTGCTATTGTAGAGAAAGAGGAACATACAGAGATGAGTGGAATAGATTCTCAGGTTAGGAAGAGCATGGAATGTGGTGGAGAGGAGTCTGAACTGAGTTTGTACCTCTTGCTACTTTTTTCTGGAGGCTGAATGAGCCTGTTACTTCAGGGTGTATCTTGGGGAGTCCAAATTTAGATGCTCTGTGACACAGACATGAACCTGGTCTCAGGAGAGACTCTCAGGACCTGAGGGTACAGGGCATGAAGTGTCAGCCTCCCCTGGGACTGGAGAATGCGGGGCAGACCAGGGTAGTTTGAAATGGCTTCTTCCCGTTCTCTGAGAGAAAGGCAGGTCTTGGGTATTAGGGCTGTGCGTGTAAATCAAGTGCTGTGCCTCTTCATCTTCAGAAAAAACTCCTGTTAAATCCCAAGAATCAACCATGTCCAAAGGGGAACATTTATATCTTATACTGACATTGTGCAGGAAATGTACAGAGGGGAAAAGGTAGGGGTTTGGTTTCAAACCCAGGGATTAAAAAATAACATTCCCCTGGTCTGCTAGGCTTCTCTGAAAGAAAATTTCATTTGCCGAGAGATGCCCGCTGCTTATTGTGCTCCATTCTGAGCCACACCCCAGGCTCAGACGCTGCAGCCACAAGAGGCCCTGAGCAGAGCCGCGTGTTGAAGGGGGCCGTGCATGTCACCTGCCATGCAGCTGCTCTCAGGCCCTGTTCACCTCATCAGCTGCAGGGAGTCAGGAGGAATCTCAAGAGCAAGTGTGTCTAAAGGCCAGGCCTTCTCACATGTAGCCACGTAGAAGGACGTCTCCAGAGACCACCCCAGAGGGCCTCCCATCTTTTAGCCATTTGCCAGACACTGAAAGCTGCCACTTCTGGCACCATGCCCTGTGTTAACAGCATTCCTCCTGGGCAGGTGGGGCTCCTCTTAACTGAGGACTGCCAGTGGATCCAGAAGGTCCTGAAATGCCCAGAGATTGGGTGTGTATGCTATTTTGTAGAGAGATGGTCTAGCAGGGGTGTCCAACCTGCATCCCTGGGGACTGCATGAATTGTTGCAGATTATTCGAGGACTGTTTCGCTTCTCTGTGGTACGGGATGAAATGTATGCACTTTTGCTTATCACCATTCATTAGTGTTTGTGTGTGACTCAAGACAACTTTTATTCTCCTAATCTGTGGCAGAAAAGAAAAACCCCAGTTTTTATCACATTTTCTTTCTTTCTTTCTTTTTTTTTTTTATTAATTCTATCATAGGATACAGTGTGTTGCTTCCATATGCAGTTTGGAAAACTCTCATCCAACTGGCTAACATAGCCATCATGTCTTTCTCATAATTGTTATGTTAAGACATTTATATTCAACCTTCAGACAAATTCACATGTACCCTAATAGGATAGATCATAGACGTGATCCCCACAATATCATTCTCTTCACCCATCCTCCCCCTCCCCTCCCCCCTCCCTTTTCCCGTAGTCTAGGGCTCCATTTGGATTGTAGCTTTCCTAAGATAGCTAACAATTAGTTTCATAATAGTGTTGAGTACATTGGATACTTTTTCTTCCATTCCTGAGATACTTTGCTAAGGAGGACATTTTCCAGCTCCATCCATGTAAACATGAAGGAGGCAAGGTCTAAAAATATGGAACGCTTCACGAATTTGTGTGTCATCCTTGCGCAGGGGCCTTGCTAATCTTCTCTGTATCGTTCCAGTTTTAGTATATGTGCTGCCGAAGTGAGCACTTTATCACATTTCAAAGGTAGAAGGAAATCCTTGCTCCAAAACAGTGAAGAGTCACCGTTTTGACTCTTCATATATTAGGAATTCATATATTAGGAATCAACACCAATTACAGCTGCTCTGTGGAAGGTTTTTCAAAAGGTCTATTCAGTAACATTAATTCAACAAATAACTGAATTGTTTTCCATGCCAGGCGTAGTGCTTGGGGCAGGGGCTGCCATGATGAACAAGACTAGATGGAACCTGTGTGTCATTGAGGGACACAGATATGAATCAAGTGATCACATAAATGCATGTCTAATTTCAAACCATGTATTGCTCTGAAGAAAAGGAACCTGGTTCTATGAGGGGCAAATGTTTACTTTTTGTTTACATATATATATTTGAATAGATAATGCAGTAGACAGGTGGCTATAGACCTTCTGCTGTTAGACCACAAGGAGAAGGGAACGCTTACCTGTGATACAATGCTTGAAATGACATTTGAAGCATGAGTATGAGTTCACCAAGCGAAGAGGACTAGAAAGGTTGGGCAGGTGGGAACGCTCTCTAGCCGAAGGCAACAGCTTATGCAAAAGAGATCAGGCATAGTGAACTGACAGAAAGCCCTCGTGGCTGGAGTGCAGAAGGGAAGGAAGCCCAGGATGCTGCTGGGTGGGGAGGGGACAGCCTTGTACCCTGCTTAGTATCGTACATTTCTCCCTCAGAGCCCTGGAGAGCCACTGAAAGAGGAGAGATAACTTTAAATCATGGCTATCGGCTATCGTTTAGAGAATGGATCGGAGGAGAGAGCAGTTAATGGGCTCTTAATTATTTCAGGCAAGAAACGATGGGGTTGGTTCTTGTCTTAGTTTGGGCTGTGATAACAGAATGCCATAGATTGGGCAGCTTGTAAATAACAGAAATGCATTTCCCATAGTCCTGGAGATTGAAAGTTTAAGTTCAGGGTGCCAGCATGGTTGGGTTCTGGGGAGGTCCCTTTTCTGGGTTGTACACGTATCATCACATGGCAAGCAGGCAAGGGAACTCCTTTATTTTTATTTATTTATTTTTTTCAGTTTTTGGCCAGGGCTGGGTTTGAACCCTCCACCTCCGGCATATGGGGCTGGTGCCCTACTCTTTTGAGCCACAGGCGCCACCCCAAGGGGAACTCCTTTATAAGAGCATTCATCTCATTCGTGAGGATATGATTTTTTTGGGGGGGGTAATAGAAACATTTATTCTTTGGCAGGGATAGTGATAGACAAATATATAGTGTAAGAAATGTATCTGTGTCCAAGTTTCCTCTTTCTGAAAAATTTTAACGAAACATTTGTTTCAGTTCTCTCAATCCAGTGGAAAAATAATAATTTGTAACAATTTTCTTATAATGTAGTTAACATCTGGCTATACTTTGTCCAAGCATGTGATCAAACTGACAGGATAATTTAACATCCTGTAAAAGGTCGGTGGACAAAGAGCTGAAGTCTGGTAGAATTTCGCTAGAAGTCATCTGGTCCAGCCTCCAACCCAAGCACCCCAAGGACATCACACCTTTGCAGGAAGGAGCCCTCCAGTGGCAGAAGGTTGTCACTGTTGTTACAGAGTCATTAGTGTGAATGATGATCACTAATTCTTAAACAAATAATTAAGACACCTGATGTAATTGGCTGTAATTGTTTTGGTGTTTGCACGCTTAATTTTCCTTCTCTTTCTCTGACCCTTCAGGATGGCTTACTCAGAGGAGCAAAGAGGTGTCCCTTGTGGATTTATGCGTCAGAATTCTGGCAACTCCATTTCCTTGGACTTTGAGCCCAATACAGACTACCGGTTTGTGGAGCAGTTGGAAGAGCGATACAAATGTGCCTTCTGCCACTCGGTGCTTCACAACCCCCACCAGACAGGCTGTGGGCACCGCTTCTGCCAGCACTGCATAATGTCCCTGAGGTGAGCGGGCAGGGCCTGAGGCTGTGGCTGCAGCGTCTAAGTGCTCCTGGCATCTCAGTGTCTGCTGTGGCCACACAACGGTTCTCATGGTTTTTGGAACTGCTGTGGTTGGCCACAGGATCACGAATATAAGGAGGGATTCTCTCTGAGGGCCTGAAGAGTAATCTTCATATTTTTCCCACTCATTTATAGACACTCATCTTTTCTTTTTTTTTCTGAGACAGAGTCTCACTGTGTTGCCCTTCGTAGAGTGCTGTAGCGTCACTGCTCACAGCAACCTCAAACTCTTAGGCTTAAGTGATTCTTTTGCCTCCGCCTCCCAAGTAGCTGGGACTACAGGCACCCGCCACAACACCCAGCTGTTTTTTTGTTGTAGTTGTCATTGTTATTTAGCGGGTCCAGGCTGGGTTCAAACCTGCCAGCCCCAGTGTATGTGGCTGGTGCCCTAATCACTTGAGCTACAGGCGTTGAGCCTAGATACTCATCTTTTATTAAAATTCAGACTGTACTTGGTCTTCATGGGAGAGACCTAGCTGTATAATCAGTCATGGGGAGCAGGCTGCTGGCAAGGGCCTGTATCTCATGGCATCTGTGTTGTGGTCACCCTAACCTTTCCTTGCCTTGAGGCAGAGGTGCTGTCGCATCCAGAAGGGACCTTACTGCCACGGATGCTGTCTACTCCTAGGTAGCTATAAAATCGGGGTCATGCCATTTTGAGGGAGGAAACCAGGAGAGATGTGGGAAGCTGGCTTTGGGGAGTTGTTTAGGGGTAGTAAGGCAGCTGTTTTACACCCCCCAGGCTTGCAAGGGGGCTATTATGTCATGTTCTCATTGATTCAAGGTGTTCCAGGCACCTTGCTCAACTAAGCTCTCATGTATGGAGGTGAAGAGTTAGAGGCATAGAGTATGGACCAGGACCTGACGTCTGCTCTCTAGAATGTCTCAGTCTAGAGAAGGACATAGTTGTAGCCCAGTGTGATAAACAAAGGAGAAGGGGACACTTAATTCCTTCCAGGAGGTCAGTGTTTGCATCCTGCAGGAGGAATTGTAGTTTTTTTCAGGCAGACTGAAAAACTGGGGATACTCTGAAAGAGAGGTACAGGGGGCACCTTCTGGGTAGAGGGAGCAGCATGTGCAAAGATAGGAACCAGCCTGCCCAGGACTGCAGGGCTGGGGCTGTTCTCGGAAGAGCTGTGGGGTAAATACCTAACTTGGGCTCCGTTCTAATTTTTCTCTCCAGAGAATTAAACGCAGTGCCAATCTGCCCTGTAGATAAGGAGGTCATCAAATCCCAGGAGGTAAGAAAGTTACTGCTTTGGTTTAACAGCTGTCTGGGTGATGGAGAAGCAGCCAGAGTCTTGGCTGAATTGGAAGTGGGGATGGAGCAGGAGAGTAGTCAAGGGGACCTCCCTTGGAATCCATATTCTTCTGTCGTGGGTCAGATCAGAGCCCACTCCTGTTCCTACCCCTGTTTGAGTCTTGGCTGACCACAGTCCTGCCACCACCCTCAGATCTCCTCTCCTGCTTCTTCCTCAGCCCCACCTTCCAAATAGGTCCAATAGCTGCTGGAACAGAAATGGAACATGGTGTTTCCTAGAATTCACTTTCTCACCTGGTTAATCCCTAAAATTTTCTTTTATTATTATGATGATGTCTAATAATAGCTTTATTAAGATCTATTTCACCTCCCATCAAATTTACCTTTTAAAGTGTACAATGTGGTGCATTTTAGCGTATTCACAGAGTTGCACATTCTTCACCACTATCTGGTTATAGAATGTCGTTATCACCCTAAGAAGAACCACACCCATTTGGCTGTCACTTCCCTTTGCCCCTTTCCCCAGCCCTTGGAAACTGCTAATCCAGTTTCTACTTCTGTGGATTTGCCTCCTGGATATTTCACATAAATAGAATCATATAGCATATGGCTTTTTGTGGCTGGCTTCTTTAAGCCAATGTAATGTTTTCAAGGTTCATCCCTGTTGTAGAATGAACCTCTTCTCTAATTCCCTGTTGTTGCCGAGGACCATCCCATCCCATCCTATGGATATGCCACATTTTGTTTATTCATCAGTTAGGGAACATTTGTTTCCACTTTGGGGCTATTATGAATAATGCTGCTATGAATATTCATGTACAAGTTTTTATGGGGACCTATGTTTTCATTTTTCTTGAGTTTGTACCTAGGAGTAGAATTACCGGGTTATATGGTAACTCTGCTTAATGTTCTGAGATCTGCCAGACTGTTTTCCAAAGCAGATGTACCATTTCATATTCCTGCCAGCAGTGTAGGAGGGTTCTACTTTCTCCAAATCTTCATCAAAGATTATTATTCTCAGTCTTTTTGATTATGGCCTTCCAGGTGGGTATAAAGGAATATTTCATTATTTTTTTTGTTTATTTGTTTGAGACAGTCTCAAGCTGTCGCCCTGGGTAGAGTGCTATGGCATCATAGCTCACAGTAACCTCCAACTCTCCTGCCTCCGCCTCCCAAGTAGCTGGGACTACAGGTGCCCGCCACAACGCTGGGCTATTTTTTTGGTTGCAGCATCATTGTTGTTTGGTGGGCCCGGGCTGGATTCCAACCCGCCAGCTCAGGTGTATGTGGCTGGTGCCTTAGCCGCTTGAGCCATAGGCGCTGAGCCTTCATTATGGTTTTGATTTGCATTTCCCAGAATGCAGCTGAATGTCTTTTCACATGCTTATTGGCTATTTATATATTATATTTCTAGAATGTCCTATTCAGTTCCACTGCTTGTTTTAAAAAATTGGGTTATTTTTTATTGTTGAATTATAAAGTTCTTTATGTGTTCTAGTTACAAGTCTCTTACCCGTATGATTTGCAGATATTTCTCTCCCATTCTGTGGGTTCTCTTCTGTTCTTCATGGTGTCCTCTGAAGCATGGAAGTTTTTCATTTTGTTGAAGTCTAATCCATCTATTTGTTTTTTCTTGTTCATGTTTGTTTTCTTTTCTCATGTTTTCTTTGTTCATGTTTTTCATCATGTTCTTCATGGTTTCCTTTGAAGCATGGGAATTGTTCATTTTGTTGAAGTCTAACTCATCTATTTGTTTTTTCCTCTGTTTGGTTGCTTGTTCTTTTGGTGTGGTAGCTAATAAATTGTTATCTGCTTCATGGTCATGAAGATTTTCTCCCTTGAAACTTCTTTTATAGGACATTCAAGTAATCACCTCCTCCAGGAAGCTTTCCCAGAGCACCTGCTCTGACGTACATGTTTCTTTTCTGCGCCCCTTAAGATGTGTTTTGTAAATGTCTAGCAGAGCGCTGTGCTGTACTTGGTGTCTGTCTGACCCACTATCCAAGGGTTGTCCTACTACATCTTAGGACCAATCCTGCCTCCCACCTGTGTTTATGTGGCTTGCGAGCTAAATAAATGTTTTTTACATTTTAAATAGCTGAAAACAATCAAAAGGATACACAGAAATTCTTATATTTTTGCAACTTAATTGTAAGTTTTACACTATTTCTAAATAAAATTTAAACAATTAAAAGAATAACAATGTTTTGTAACATGTGAAAATCAAATTTCAATGTCTATAAATAGTGTTTTCTTCATCCTCCAACAAGTAATATTTTATCAAAACACATTTATTTAAGTATTATATATGGCAGAGTTGAAATGTGGCAACAGAAATGGTTGTAAGGTAGCAAAACTGAAAATATTTACTTTCTGGCCTTTTTTTTTTTTTGGCTAGGGTTGGGTTTGAACCCGCCACCTCCAGCATATGGGGTTGGCGCCCTACTCCTTTGAGCCATAGGCACCACCCTACATTCTGGCCTTTTATGGCAAAAGTTTCCCACCCTCTGGGTTTGTGGTACTTAAGCAAGCCAGCACAGCTTCAGTGATGCTCTCTGATGGGTAATACAAACATGTACCCTGGGACCGGAAGCTGAAAGCATCATTTTTGGCCACACTCCACCTCTTCACCTTTGAGAATGTGATGTGAGATTCACCATGAGATTTTCCTAGCTGTGGCCTGTGGCATAGTGCTTTGAGTTACCCAGCTTGTGTGTGAGGTGGCTTGTTAGAAGTTTGCATCCAAGATAGCTTTTCTTCTTAGCATGGTGGTGAGTGTGATATTTCCATTCTAACCACTGTCTGGAAGTTTCCACCCAACTTTTGAGGTATACTTGAAGATGAAAACAATAATAACTTAATTCACATTGCTGTAAAGCTTTGCAGTGTATGAGCCCTCTTATGTTTATCTTTTAGGTGTTTAAAGACAATTGCTGCAAAAGGGAAGTCCTCAATTTATACGTATATTGCAAAAATGCTCCTGGATGTAATGCCAAGATTATCCTGGGACGATACCAGGTTGGTATGACTCACGAACAATATTTGCCTTTGTCGTTTCTCTCTCTCTCTCTCTTTTTTTTTTTCAGGGATTTTACCTTTTTTTTTTTTTTTTCTTAATTTATTGTTGGGGATTCATTGAGGGTACAAGAAACCAGGTTACACTGATTGCATTTGTTAGGTAAAGTCCCTCTTACAATCGTGTCTTGCCCCCAAAAGGTGTGGCACACACCAAGACCCCACTCCCTCCCTGCTTCCCTCTCTGTTTTTCCTTTCCCCACCCTCTCTCCTTCTTTCTCTCTCTGCTCTTCCCTTCCCCCACCATGTCATTAATTGTCCTCATATCAAAATTGAATGCATAGGATTCATGTTTCTCCATTCTTGTGATGCTTTACTAAGAATAATGTGTTCCACTTCCATCCAGGTTAATACAAAGGCTGTAAAGGTTCCATTTTTTAATGGCTGAGTAGTATTCCATGGTATACATATACCAAAGCTTGTTAATTCATTCCTGGATTGGTGGGCATTTAGGCTGTTTCCACATTTTGGTGATTGTAAATTGAGCTGCAATAAACAGTCTAGTGCAAGTGTTCTTATGACAAAAGGATTTTTTCCCTTCTGGGTAGATGCTCAGTAATGGGGATTGCAGGGTCAAATGGGAGGTCTAGCTTGAGTTCTTTGAGGGTTCTCTGTATTTCCTTCCAAAAAGGTTGTATTAGTTTGCAGTCCCACCAGCAGTGTAAAAGTGTTCCCTTCTCTCCACATCCACACCAGCATCTGCAGTTTTGAGATTTTGTGATGTGGGCTATTCTCGCTGGGGTTAGATGGTATCTCAGGGTGGTTTTGATTTGCATTTCTCTAATAATTGGGGATGATGAGCATTTTTTCATATGTTTCTTTGAGATTTGTCTTCTTTAGAGAAGGTTCTATTTGTGTCTCTTGCCCATTTATATATGGGATTGTTGGCTTTTTTCATGTGGATTAATTTGAATTCTCTATAGTTCCTAGTCATCAAGCTTTTCATATTTCTGAATCAAAGAAATTCAAGCTTTTGATATTTCTGAATCAAAATATGCAAACATCCTTTCCCATTGTGTAGGTTGTCTATTTGCTTTGGTTGTTGTCTCCTTAGTTGTACAGAAGCTTTTCAGTTTAATTAAGTCCCATTTGTTTATTTTT